GTCTACCTTACCTATGTTCGACAAAAATGATGGTGATACTGCGGGTGATCCTCCTCACCTGGATGATGATGACTCGCTCGACCTTTCTCCCCCGACCACGCCTCATCCATCGTCCACGGCTTCAACTTCCTCCTCCTCTCCAGGTGCGCAGTCCACTCCAGATGCATCGATGTCCACAGATTCCAGCTCCCCCGCGTCGGCAGCTGCCTCTAGCCAGCTTACCGCGTCCCAAGCTACTCCTCCTATGCCTCGTCGTTCGACGTGTTCAACGATGGGCCAGGCCCCGCTCCAGTTCCAGGACTATCATGCTTATGGGGTTGACTCGGTTCCTATTCCTACGCGCTATAAGCAAGCACATGGTGATCCAGTGTGGGATAATGCCATGGATGTGGAGATTGACGCTCTCAATGCGAACGGGACGTGGACTGTGGTTGATCGCCCGCCTCCACCAGTGCCTATCGTGGGGAGTAAGTGGGTGTACAACATCAAGTTTCTCCCGGACGGTTTGATTGAGAGACATAAAGCCCGAGTCGTTGCCCAGGGCTTTACTAAAGAGCATGGTGTGGATTATGATGAAACTTTTGCTCTCGTCGCAAAGATGCCTACTGTTCGTACATTGTTAGCTGTTGCTACAGTTCGTGATTGGCCTTTGTATCAGTTTGACGTGAAGATCTCTTTTCTTCATGGGGACTTGAAGGAGGTTTTTTATATGGAACCTCCTCCTGGGTATAAGTATGCTTCCCCTGGTCAGGTTTGTCTTCTTCACCATTCTCTTTATGGGCTCAAACAGGCACCCGTGCCTGGTTTGAGAAGTTTCATGCTACCATTTTGGCCTTGGGACTTCATCAGAGTCTCAATGATCCGTCTCTCTTCACGAAGATCTCGGCAGCGGGTATCGTTGTTCTTCTGTTGTATGTCGATGATATGGTCGTTACGGGAGATGATGTTGAGGGGATTCAATTGTTGAAGCAAGGTATGCAAGCTGCTTTTAATCTGAATGATTTGGGGGATCTTAGATAATTCTTGGGTCTAGAGATAACTCGTTCTTCTCAGGGGATAACTCTACACCAGACTAAGTACATCAAGGATCTTCTTTCTGAGCATCAGTTCGATTCCTGCACTCTGGTTCGCACTCCCATGGAGCTCAACCTAAAGCTTCATTGGGAGTCTGGTCCTCTGTTGGCCGACGGTTCAGCCTATAGGAGCATTGTTGGTAGCTTAATTTACTTGACTGCTACACGACCAGACATTTCTTATACCGCGCAGATTATCAATCAATTCATGGTTGCTCCGCGCCAGGATCATCTTGCCACAGTTCATCGCATACTTCGGTATCTGAAGGGGACTGTGGATGTTGGTTTGTTTTTCTCTTCCCAGGGTTCGCTTGCTCTTCAGGCTTTTTCGGACTCAGACTTTGTTGGGTGTGTTGACACTCGTCGTTCAACCTCTGGATGGTGTATTCGATTTGGTTCTTCTTTTATTTCTTGGAAGTGTAAGAAGCAGGATCGGGTTTCTAAGTCCTCGACTGAGGCAGAGTACAGGGCTATGTCCGAGGTATCATCTGAGGTGATATGACTTCAGCGTCTGCTTGCTAATTTTGGCGTTTCATGTTCGTCTCCTGTGGATTTGTTCGTGGACAACACCAGTGCTATTCAGATTGCAGTTAACCCGGTCATGCATGAGAGGACCAAGCATATTGAGCTTCATATCCACTATGTTCGGGATTTGGTCTGTGACGGGGTCCTGCGTGTTCATTATGTGGCGTCCGAGGATCAGATAGCAGACCTCCTCACAAAGTTTCTTCCCACCAGTCGGCATTGGTATCTTTCGTGCAAATTGATGCTTTGTGACCGACATCAATTTGGGGGAGGCTGTTAAACCGTATAGGGCTTGGCCCATGTATATGTACATCTCAGGGCCGGCCAAGAGGGTGTGCCGGCCCGCCCTCCGGCACAGGGGCTCTGAATATTAGGGGCCTCCACTCAGATTCGTTAGTTACCGATCGAATATTGTAGGTTATTTTTTTAGTGTATGTTTGATAGATTATGAATATGATGACGAATTTAATAAATAATTTTAGCTATAATAACAATTGAAAAGGATCTCATGGAGAAAAAGAAAATCAGAGAGATAATAGATAATTTTAATTTAAACAATAAAGAAAGATATTACATTTTGAATAATGGTATTATTATCATTTTAGTTTTATTATAGTTAAAAGTCAATTTGGATAATGTCTCAATTTTAGAATAGGGCTTACACGATCCATTAGATAGACCCGCACCCACCTCTCGATCAATTTATATTACATTCAATTTTTGCTCTATATCCATTTTCTGTTTCCTCCCGATTTACTTTTCTCCCTCCATGCTAGGAGTGAGAATTTGGTCTTGGTTTCTTGGTCAAACAGGAAGTGAGATTGTTTATTCATTTTGAAATCATTTTCTGAACTTATGTACTTTATAATTATTTAATAAATTTTATTTTTAATAAATTTATTGAAAAAAAAATTTGGGGCCACATGTTAAATTTTCGAACAAGGCCTCCAAATATCATGGGACGGCTCTGGTACATCTGTATCCACGTAGTCGGCCCATACCCATGCATACGTACACTTGATGAGTGCATGGATTAGTGTTTTAGGTCATATATATTCCTTTGTACTCCTGGTTGAAAGACTAAGCTGAATAATAGATCTCCGTTCTCCGTGGACTAGTCAGTATTGCTCTCTGCAATACTGGAAACCACGTATATCGTTTGTTCCTTTTCTTTTCAACTCACAGGTTTTCTAACAGGGTGCTCCTTGTTCGACTATGTGCCCGGTATGCTGGGACCAAGGTTGTCAACCCACGGGTTGACCCGGACCCGGTTGAGCTAGTGGATCAAGGGTTAATGGGTCACCCGTTTTAGCCCAGTTTAGCCAGGAAATATGGAAAGCGTCATTATATTGTACTTATCCTGATAAATTATATCAATCTCATCTAACATATGAGTTATAACATATAATATTACACCAAAATAACATTTCTTACTTAGATTCAACATATAGTGAAAATTCACACACACTTATATAACATTAATATTCAAATGTTTAACTTAGGATTACAAAGATTGAGTTAGGCAAAAAGAAAATCGAAAAATAGGCGCATTTCGCAAAACAAAGAAAAAAATGACACAATTTGACCTCCAACCCGGTACCTTGTGGCGGTCAACCCGGCGGATGCGTGCGGCCCGTTTTTCTCAACGGGTCAGGGTCAAAGTGGGTCAACCCACGGGTCGACCCGCGGGTTGACAACCTTGGCTGGGACTGTTAGAGTCTATGGAGCATATGTTCTTAGAGTGCCGACTAGTGTTAGATTTGTGGGAGAGATGTGGCCTACGTGCGCGGAGGGAAGGAGTCGATGGATTAAATATGGTGCTTTTGTTTCGGAGACTGGTGGAGCGGGATTCTTCTCTGGAAGCCATTATTAGGTTGGTAGATTTATTGTGGCGAATTTGGAAGTCAAGGAACTGGGTGGCTTTTGATCACATTTCGTATTCTGCGGAGGTATTGGTTCGACAGTTCTCGGAGCAGGTGAGGGAATGGTTATCAGTTCCCCAGCTACGACCGGTGGCGGGTCAGATAGCACCGAGGGTTAATGGTGCGGTGGGCGAGGATTTCCATCCATCGATTATTTGTTATGTGGATGGGGCTTTGAGAGTAGGTTCCCATGCGACTGGTGGTATAGTGGTTCAGGATGAGCAGGGAGGATTATGTTTGTTCAGGGATTTCACTATATAGATTTTCCAGACCCGTTCCTTGTGGAGTTGCTAGCGTTTCGGGATGTGTTTCAATGGTGCTCTATGATGGGCATACATGAGGTGACATTCCGTCATTGGCGGAGCTATGTGAGGGGATGTGGGGTCCATGGACCCCACTTGGAAAATGAATATACATTAAAAATGGTGGATTTTTAAGGTGTGGTTAGTAAATTTAGAACTACGGACCCCCTCTTCCCAAGACAATAATTTTACTATTGAGACAAACTTTGTATTTAGTTTTGTTTGGACCCCACTAAATTATATCTCTAGCTACGCCAATGCATTCCGTGGTGATGCAAAGGTGGTGATTGACAAAATTGCAGCTCAGGAGAAACGGGACGTGAAGGCAGGAGTAATCTTGGAGGAGGTAGTGCACCTTCGGCAGCTGTTTTCCAAGGTGACTGTCGAGTTCATTGGTAGGCATAACAATTGGGCGGCCTATCGTGTGGCTAAAAAGGCCCTTGATTTGTTACCTACAGAGTTAGATGGGTTTAATTTTCGTCATTGGTTTCTTTTTGGGAATTGATGTATGGGGTACGATGTATGAACCTTGTTATCTTTGTGTGCTTCGTAATGCAAGTGAACTATTGGAAGAAAAAAAAGTGAGGGAAAGGAGTGAGACGTAAAGGAGAATAAAATAGGATGATTTTAATATAAATTTTCAATTAACTTGATTTTAAAAATTCCAAAACTATCACTACTCTAACTCTACCAGATTTGGAATAAAAAATATAAAATGATTAATGATTAATGGAGTTATTAGCATCCGATCCATTCTGGGAATGGTGGGCTAGCTCAACATTAGTTTACTCCCTACACCTATCTTGCATGAATAATTTACCATATTCGATGCTCCAATAACTAGTGACTGCTACTTGGACTAGTACACCTCAAAGAAGTGGTTAAGATTCATATTTGGTCCTGTATAAAATTCAGCATAATCTTCTTCTAACAACTCGAGTTATTGGGATTTGGGACCAACTGGTTTATGACATGGTATCAGAGCTGGTTTGTCCGTGAGATCACGTGTTCATGTTCTCACGACCCCCAATATTAACCGTTGTCTTTCAAGCACATGGTATGGTGGGCCTCTGCAAACTTCAAGCCCATGAGTCGGCTTTCGATTGAGGGGGCGTGTAAGGAAGTGGTTAAGATCCATACATGGGCATATATAAGATCCCGCATATCCTTCTTCCAACAACTCAAATTATTGGGACCAACTAGTCTATGAAACCCCATTGAACACTTTGGATCGTTCTATAAGAAGAGTCCTTCCATGCACCCACAAATCATTCATTCACACACCCATCATTCTATCTGCTTAGCAAATCAGTGCAAAGCAATAGAGACATGGCTCAACTGCAGAAGCTAGAGACCAAGGCTCCAATGAAATCACCAGAGAAGATCGCAGCTTTCTTCAGGGACAGCTTCACCACCCTGCCTCGATTGCTCCCTGACATTTTCAAGACCGCTGAGATCGTGGGAGGCGGCCACAAAGCAGGGCCTGGCTCCGTAATGCTTTTCCAATATTCCCTCCGTACGTCATTTTCGCCAAGCCAACATTAATTACTTGTATCTAATCGTAGTTTTGATTGCATCCTTCGATATTGAATTTTGGCTGTGTATTGAATCGATCAGCTGGGTCCCCGTTAATGAGTATGAAGGTCAAGTGGGAAGAAGAAGCCATGGACACAGAAGAAGAAGAAGAAGAAGAAGGGAAGAAGTCGTTCACTTTGACGGCGATAGAAGGGGAGGTGCTGGAGATGTACAAGGGTTACAGTCTGAAGATTGAGATGGACAGTAACGCTGGCCAGTCGCTATGGATCATTCAGTATGAACTCGCCAACCCGAATGCTCCCCCTCTTCATGCCTATATTCAAGTCTGCAACCAGCTTGCCAAAGCCTTCGATAAATACTGCTGATGCGGTTTATACTACCGTACTGCAGTACTGTTATAGTACTCATGACAATCAACTCACTCGTGAATTGGTTTCAAGGGATTAAATAAGAGACCACGAAGACGACGAGCTGCGTTGTCCTCTGGCATTTTAAGTTGTGTTTGACTGTCTGAGATCTAGAATCTCAGTGGAAATTAAGATCGCAATGCAACTATGTTTGTGTTAATGTCATCGTTCTTCTATCTTTTTTTTTATCATCATCGTTCTTCTATCTTTGGCATAACCTTCAGTAAAAAATGATATCTAAACCCTGAATCCACCGGAGTTTAGCATCTTGTATTATTCCCAAATCTTTAAAGATTAAAATCTAGGTGTCAATTTTATAAATCTCATACACTAAAAAAAGTTTAATTAGAAACAAAAATCAACAGTCATGATTCATCAAGCTATATGGAACTTAGAAGCCACCATATATATATATATGGGTAAGACTGGCGTACGTCAGGTACGACTAGTAAGATATCTCTATCTAGACCATGAATTAAATCGAGTTTGGGGTATGATATACCCTAACCTATAATGGATAAACCCCAGACACCGATTTTCTAAACCCCTACCCTAAGTTTGATTTAATGAAAAACAAAATTTGACCGTTGAGATAAGCCGGAGCTCATCTAAGTACATCTAACAGTTAGATCACCTGCTATATTCTATACGCCTGACGTACACCAGTCATTACCATATATGTATATATATATATGGACGGTTCTATCGTACCTTGGGTAAAATCAAGGGTAAGGCATACCCTGAGTAAAAAAATGTTATCTAGACATCGAAGAGTTTGGCATCTGATACTATTCCTAAACCTTTAAAGATTAAAATCTAGGTCTTAATTCTATAAATCTCACATACTAAGATCAGTTTAATTAGAAACAAAAATCGACGGCTATGATTCGTCGAAATATATGCAACAAATTACATGCACAATCTTAGGGGTTAGGCTCTATGATTTAGAAAACTAAGACCTAGGGTTCACTCATCAAGGGTTAGGGTATAGTCACATGACCAAAAATCCGGTTAATTCGAGGTCTAGATAGCGTTTTCATACTCAAGGTATGCGGTACCCCGGATTCCACCCGGGGTACCGTAGAACTCGTCATATATGAACGGTTCTATCGTACCTTGTTAATATATATATATATATATATATATATATATATATATATATATATATATATATATATATATATGGTAATGTAGCCGTTAGAGGTTTCTCGTAGAAACCTTACATTAATTATGAAGAGACATACTCTCTTGTGGTGGATGCAACTATGTTGTGAAATTTAAATAGCTTTGCGGTTCAAGAAGGGTGAAATTTTAATATGTTAGATATTCTAATAGCCTATTTGTATGGATCCATTGATAATAATATTTATATGAAACTCCATAAAGGATTAGTTTGCCAGAAGCAAACATATGACGTTCTCGAGAACATTTATCGACAAAAATGAAACAATCCATAGTATGGATTGAGATGGGTGAATGTTGAATATTCATAGTACATTAGAGCATTTGCATTGTGTATATGTAGTTGTGTTGTATGTATGTGCTTCAAGGATTTTAAACTCTAGGTTTATGAGTTGTGTTTTACTTTAAAGTATGATTTATGTTTTATGAGTGTGGTTTGTCGAGTTCATATTGTTTCTATGAAATGAGTTTTGTTATTATCTTTCGTTATATGAAAGAATTGCTTGCATCAATTCTTTGTGACGATCTCATATTATGTTGAAGATATGACTGTTATTGGAGCTCCTGGAGAGCTTCCTAAAGCAGTTAATTGTTTAGAGAAATAAGTTAAATTGAAGGATTTAATATCCTTTTATGTGCAAGGAAGGTAATGTTGGATAAGTGGAAATGTAGTTTTGCAGGAACAAATTATGTTTGTCAAATAACTTTAAGTTCGTAAGATCACTAGAGGTGACCAAAGATTCATTTAGGCATCAAGGAAGAAGTGTAACATTAGGTCCTGAAGTACAATATGTTGGTGAACTAGGTCCTGAAGTACCATGTGTTGATGCATTAGAGCACCAATGTACCTTGCTAGCCAAGCACCATACAAAAAATCATTTTTGTGTTGATAATATTAGCAAGATGCAATGTTTCCCTCATTGGAATGTTGGAAAATACTTTGTTACCTTCGGGAACAATACATGCGATTGTTCTATTACGGTATTATCAAATAGAGATTTGGTGAACTATATATCCAGATAATATATATTATTTGATCCTCATTATTGGTTGATTGGAGATGAGTTATCTCTTACATAACCATATGACTGTTTCATAGAGAAACAAAACAAACTATAGTAGGCAAGTCCTGAATGTATTTCGTTATACTTTGTGATTGAGCATATCTAAAGGACTTATAGTTGTGAACTCTTTCCAAAGAAAATGATCATGACGATCATGTATGAAGAATATCTAAAGATCATGCATCAAATTGACAATCAAGAAGATTGTTCACGAATGCAGTCCAGACAACAATCATTCTAAAAGTTGTTCGTGAAATTTGAGTTCAACGACTCAAAGATCTGAAGTGATGTGGTCATGAGGGGGAGTATATACGCACTGCACCCTAATTCCCTTAACCATGGTTTTTCCACTGGGTTTTCCTTGTAAGGTTTTTAATGAGGTAATATGAAATAGTGTAATGCAATCTAGTGGTCATCCAATGAGGAGTATTATATATGTAAATAGTAATATGGATGACCACTACATTAGATGCACTATTATGTGTTACATGTAACCACTAAACCCATTCAAATTCCACATTCATTCTCACATTAATGTATATTGATTATAAGAATGTAGAGGTTATGTGATGTGTACCTATAAATAGAGGATCTTCTTGTACTAAGAAATACATGAATAAGAAAAGCTCTATTCCAGTTCTCTTCTTGTGTCTCTACTCTTACTCTTCTGTCTACTCTCTTTACAATTATTTCATAACACTTAAGAGTTTGTTTGGAAATTGTGTGTGTATAGGTATTAGGTTGTATTCATTGAATATATGTATTGTCTAGAATAGAACGTTTGAAAATGTCAAACTTTAAAAATAATTCATGTATTGTTTTGGATAAATCGCACCTATAATCAATGAAAAATTATTATAATTGTTTCTTTTAGATTTAAGTTCCTTTTGTTTCCATTCATATCCCTATTAGTTGTCCTTTATTCCCATATTGCCCTACCTCAAACCCTCCTCAAATATTTGCCCGCCCCCAAATGCTTCCCTCCTAATTTCCCCCAACCTGGAGACCAATATGATCAATGTTGGGTTTTTTTTTTCCCCATCAATTTGGCTGGTTCGGTTCTCCCCCACTACTGCTGATCTTTTTCCCTCGAAGCATTTGATATGGAAAGATATAAAATATCGGACAAGCAAGCAATAGGAACTCTTGAACAGATTTGGCAAGGAGAGTTTTAGAGAAAAGATAAAAGAGAGATGGGGGGTGGGGGGGGGGGGGAAGAGTTATGTTTTATGTTAAAAATAAATGGTAAATGCGATGTAAAATTAGAATATCATTAAACAAATAATATAATGTTAAATTGTATCAATTGTTTCAATCCATGTATTTTTATTGCAATGATTAATTACAAAATAACGATTTAATATATGTAACTTTCAAACGACCCATAAGTAGATTATGTCATTTTGAAGAACGTGATAAATTTGATATTAATATTAATATGACTAAAATTAAGTATGGAAAATTTATATATCTTATTAACGATTTGTCATCTGCTTCCTATTCATATCTTTCAGTCCACATACAAACTTTACAAGATTCGCTGCTTGAATAATTCAAGCATACACCAAGCAAGCTGATATATAGAATGATTAGCAGTAGACATGAAGGAATCTTCTTTTATTATCTCTTTTGTCTTTTCTAATCGGTTAATGTTTATTAATTATTTCACATTTGCTATTAAAATAAATTAATTACATTAGTAGTCATTAACTTTAAATATGCGTGGTCAATCTCCGTCTAACTTATGATTATATGTTTCGACAGTTTCGTTAATCAACTTTGATGGTAGAACGATGTTATTGTTTATTTGTGTTGGTTTGAGTTGATTATAAATTAATATCTATGTTAAATTATTTTTATTCAATGCTAAAATTTTGAAAAAATAACAAATAATGATGTAGTAAAAAAATCTACAACGATGCACAATTGGAAAAAAGAGGATTTCTTCTATTGGTTTGGTTACCGATCGGTTATTTTGGTCTAACCTTCCCGAGTCACTTGCTTAACAGTTGTCCAGTTATACAACAAAATAACTAATAACCAAAAATACGGTTAACTGAATAATATAAACAGTGCGGTTAGCGGTAGACACAAATTGCTTAATGGTTAACCGATAATCGACTAAATGGTTATGTTCATAACCGAACTTACTAACAATCCTAATGTTTAGGGTTTAGTAGTTTGATTTGGAAATAAATTGTTTTTAATTACCGTCCTTAGTTTATTACAATTATTAATTGTAGATTTTTTAAATAAATTATAATTAGTATTTAGGGTTTATATTAGTAAATTATTAGTTCATTGAGCTTATCATATGATTGGACATATATTATCTTAGCTATGTGGATGTTAATTAATTAGTAATTATTTCAAATAGACTTGAATTAGTAAAATATGAAATATTAATATTAACGTATTATAATATTTTATAATTGTGGGAAAATGTTTAAAATGTTCTATACGGCGTTCGAAAGTGCTTCCTAGAAGATCATCTCGAAGAATAGTTGCAAGTTCGGATGGTGGTTCGTCAAGCTCATGCATATCGTAGGGATAGATAAGACTGTGCTTCAAGAGCCAGTCCGCGACTCTATTCCCTTTGCGGTAAGTATGGGCAATGCTAACCAACCAATCCCTTCCCAAATTCCTGCGAATTATCGAAAGGAGCGTTGCGTGCGGGTGCAAAGGATCCGTTTTATGCTGAATGAGTTGTAAGGCTAGTTGAGAATCCGTCTCTATTTTCACTGCTCGGCAACCGAGCTTCCAAGCTAGCTCTATCCCGTAGTTGATGCCCCAAAGTTCCGCTAGAGTTGTCGTCGCCGATTCGATGTTGGCCACAAAACCTCCTAGCCACCGCGCCATCGAGTCCTTAACTACGCCTCCTGCTCCAGTCGGCCCGGGGTTACCGTTCGATGCCCCGTCAACGCTCACAGTGACCCACCTGTCTTGAGGAGTTGACCAGCCAATGTCTGCCCACTGTCGATTTGTCGACCGCACTCGATTGCCGAGGAGGGGCGCTGGAGCATGCCACGAAGTGTGCCACAGCTTGGTCTTCGTAAGAATGGAGTAC